TCTTAACTATATATTAAAAGTGTACTTTTCTCTATAAATTTATAAAAATATTTTAAATAAAATAACATAAAAATAATTTTATTAAAATTTTTTTGATAAACTTATAAAATAAATTAAACTTTTAATATACAATTTATCTCATAAAACACTTTTTAATATATATATATATATATATCGGTAAGGTGCGCATCAATCCTACCTCCTAAAGAAAATTAGAGTCCCAACCAAAACGACGTCGTTATCTTAATCCCAACCCCTCCTTTTTGCCTTTGCATCTTCTACAATCATCTCCATCTCTATCTTCGATTCCTTCTCCATTGCCTCTCATCTCCATCGACTCCTCCAAATCCTCCGATTCCACTGCAATTCATCTTCTCCGTCGACAGTAACCCCTACTTTTTTTCACTTTTTCTGCAATCATCTCCATCTTCATCTCCATCTCCATTGATTCCTCCAATTCCTCCAATTTTTCAAATGCAATCCCACACCAGCGACTTAATCCCCAACACCCACTACTTTAACCCCATTATGCTATTGCAATTCATCATCTCCGTCGATTCTACCGCTACAATTCATCATCTCTGTCGAAGAGAAGGGATCGAGGGATGGTAAGCTCTATCTACCCAAAAAGATCGCAAAAAATCTCTCTCTTTTTTGTTGGGTCTCTTTTTAATCATCGGTCCCTTGAATTTTTCAGATACAATCACGCCATCAAGCGTAGCAAAAAAGGAATCAAAGGAAACGACCTTTTGAAATTCAATGAATTATCCTCTTTTGTTCTCCGGCAGCAACAGGGATAAAAAGTATTTTTGTTTTCTTACTCAAATTTCTTGTTAAATCTGGAAAAGAGAAGGTTGCTTTTAGGAATTGTTTGTTTATTCAATTAAATTTGGTAGCCAAAGCCATCTTTTCTTAACTATTTGATGATAAAATTCTTAAACTGGTGCCTTGTAAATTATGTAAATTATTTGTTCATGCTATAGAATACTAGTATTTTGAGGATTGGAGCATGCAGGTGACTATAGTATTAATGGTGTTCACACACCGCCCCCTAGAAAACCGCTACACGATAAGAAAATAGAATAGTGTTCCCCGGGGCCCCCCAGAAAACCCGCGCTGGAGAGTTGTAGAGAGGGAGAGCTTATATGTGCCCCACACAAAAAGTGCACAAAGGGACACATACGCTTAGAAAATATATGTGCCACAAAATAGACGCGACACTATAGGGTTAAAATGAAAAGAGTATATGTGTATATCAGAAAAAAAATTCTTTTTGGAACATGAAAGAATCAATCACTCTTTGGTTTATTAATGCTTTGGTCAAGTCAAATGGAAATATTTTTGTTTGTTGTGTTGTTTGGACAAGGTTAATGCTTAGGAAAAATTCAAGTAGGTGAAAGAAAGTTCTTTTGTTATGACAAGTCAAATTTTAACAAATTGAATGGCATGGCAGCAGAGGGCAAATAAAGTTATCTTTTGTCTTTATAGCTATTGAAGAGCCAACTTAGCAAATGTGAGGTCTTAAGAGGTCTCTTTCAATGATGAGGTTGAACAATTAAAGAATGACATTGCTGCTGCTTTTGAGAAGAAGATAGTTTCCTTCATAGTGGAGAATGTTGTGAAGAATGAGTTGAACAAGGCATACAGCAAAAAGGCCAAAAAAAACAAGACATTATGCAGATTTAGCTTTAGCTTGTTTGTGGCTTTTTCTTTTTGATGTTTTTTTGGCTTTATTATGACAAAATGTGACTTATAAGCTCACATACAAAATTTTGTACTGTACAATGTAAATTGGTTATATGCAATAAAGTGGGCAATTGCCCTTTTATGTATAAAATAAATTTCCACTACAATTAACAAATTTTGCATAAATTTTTGTAGAAAATCTAAAATGAAAAACTTCTGTAAGGCATTACAAATAATTAACAGAACTTATATAAATGCATTGCAAACTTTTATAAACTTTACAATGTACAGCTTCACAAAGTATAACTTCACAAAGTACAACTTCACAAAGTACAGCTTCACAAAGTACAGCTTCACAAAGAAAGCTCATTGCAAATTTCTATAAGCTTCACAAAGTAAGCTGTAAGTATAAATTTCATAAAATAAGCTGCAAATTTCACAAAATAGGCTCAATTTATATCCAAAACAAATCTAACACTAAACAAAATAAGCTCCAATTCTTCCCAAAATAAGCTTAATGGTTACTCTATCATAACAATCACTCTTTTGCATGGGGTAATTGACTTGCACTTCCATCTTCTATGACCTAATAAACAAAGCACAAAACCAAGATATTGTTAAGTTACATGCAAATAGGATGCTGAAAAGTGAAAAAATAATTATTAACTTAAAAATTTTACCTTGTCTAAATTCTAGGGGCACCAAGGAAAACAGTACTAAATTCTAATAGCATAAAGCAATTCTAAGGAAGCAGTGTGACAACACCATTAATACTACAGTCACCTGCATGCTCCAATCCTCAAAATACTAGTATTGTATAGCATGAACAAATAATTTACATAATTTACAAGGCACCAGTTTAAGAATTTTATCATCAGATAGTTAAGAAAAGATGGCTCTGGCTACCAAATTTAATTGAATAAACAAACAATTCCTAAAAGCAACCCTCTCTTTTCCAAATTCAACAAGAAATTGGAGTAAGAAAACAAAAATACTTTCTGTTCCTGTTGCTGTCGGAGAACAAAAGAGGGTAAATCATTGAATTTCAGAAGGTCATTTCCTTTGATTCCTTTTTTGCTACGATCGACAGCGTGATTGTATCTGAAAAATTCAAGGGACCGACAATTAAAAAGAGACCCAACAAAAAAAAGAGAGATTTTTTCGATTTTTGGGTAGATAGAGCTTATCGTCCCTCGAGCCCTTCTCTTCGACAGAGATGATGAATTGCAGCGGTAGAATCAACGGAGATGATGAATTGTAGCAGCATAATGGGGTTAAGGTAGTGGGTGTTGGAGATTAAGTCGCTAGCGTGGGATTGCATTTGAAAATTTGGAGGAATTGGAGGAATCGATGGAGATGGAGATGGAGATGATTGCAGAAGAAGTAAAAAAAGCAGTGGTTATCGTCGACGGAGAAGATGAATTGCAGTGGAGAATCGGAGGATTCGGAGGAGTCAATGGAGATGAGAGGCGATGGAGAAAGAATCGGAGATAGAGAAGGAGATGATTGCAGAAGAGGCAAAGGCAAAGAGGAAGGGCTGGGATTAAGAGAACAACGCCATTTTGGTTGGGACTCCAATTTTTTTTGAAAGGTAGGACTAATGTGCACTTTACCATATATATATATATATAAATTCAGGTGCAACATCCCTCATTGCTATATGAATAAGCAAAATTGGACACGGCATACGGCGTACCATTATGCCGAAGTGTAATGCACGCGGTGACTCACCGCCTCGCACGTGTTTAAGCATTTGCCTTGCATTTAATTGTGTTTAAACCGTCAACTATTAACTTATTTAGTGATAATTTTTTTTTTGTTGAAAGTGAAAAATTTTGAATTCGAGTCGCATGACATACAAGTAGAGTGAGATAAGAGATGAAAAAGAGTTACCTCTCGTTGTGCAACTAATATCAAAAAGAAAAAAATTATCTAAACAAGTTTGGGAGATCAGACCAAATTTAGCAAAACAAACCAAACAATGCTGTGTCATATTATAAAAGCCAACATCGTACTAACATTACATCCAAAAAAGAGGAAAGAAAGCCAACATTGTACTAATTGAAAATACAGAAGGCTAAGTTCTTTGTCTAGTTCTTGTTAATTTTTATTAGTTTTATAATTTATTTTTTTGAAAAAAATCAAGCTTTTCAATTCTCAATACACTTGTTAATTGGGAATTACTCAAATGAAAAAATTAGTTATATATATAATTTACAGAAGCTTTAGCTTAAAATAAGCTTATAATGAAAGAATGAAAAGTAAGGGCAACCCTTTTAGCAATACTCAAATAAAAATTTAAGAGTAGCAACTTTTTCTCCTTTTTTGTATTTAAGGATCACAGTATTTTAAATTAATTACTCGTATCTCTAAATTAATTTCTATTCATTCAATCAAAGGCAGAGAGAGTTAAATATTATTGGCCAGCCTAAAAAGTTAAAAACTTTGATCAATGAAGGATGAGGCAAATCTCCTTACACCAGTTAAGTCACTGTTCTTTGTGTAAGTAAAATTTTCTCTTTTAAGGTAACAAAATTGTGTTGTGAGATTGAAATTGTACCAAATTGCATTGCTTAAATTATTGTACGAAACAGATTTTTGATATTGAAATTATATTTTTTATTTAATAATTTATATTTATAGTTTAATATAATTTAAGATTAAAAAATATGGGGACTTTTGGCTTGTAAAAGGTGTTTTAAGATATTAAGAATTTAAAGAGGTGTTTGGATGAGAGTTTGGTTAATAGTTATTAACTGTAATCTAATTAAATAGATTAAATATTTTTAATTTTAAATAATAATCATTATCAATTATTAAATATTAATTATTATTGATTAGCTTTTTTCAAAAGTTAATCCAAAAACACACTAAAACTTTATATTAAAGATATGGAACTCAAACCTTAAAATATAAAAAGGCATTAAATTTTTTTATTTAAAATCAAAGTGTTTTCAAATTATATTTTACATATTTTGAAATTAATTTTTACTCAAAATAAATAAAAAAATTATTTTTTATTGGAGAAGATTATTCTTGATAGGATAGCCCACCGCTTAAAAATAAATAAATAAATAAGTTAATAAAAAAAATTAAAAACAGGGGACTCTTGGAGATAATGCCACGAGGATAACGGACCCAAAAAGAGGAGGAAAGACAGGTAGGGATCCATTGGCTTTATTTTA